AACTCATGTACCCATTTAACTGTCCATATTAGACTTACAGTAATCCAAATACTAATGCGATACCGCTGCTTTGTATGTGCGCGCATAAATATTTTCACATTGGAGAATATGCTACTGATTTTAATAAGGTGAAAATTCGCGTATATGTATTTAGAAGAGGGAAAAATACAAAGCAAAAAAGGAATTCCTTGGGATGAATTCTTCATCTCGGTCTGCAGTTATACATACATTAAACATTTCAAGAATAATTGCTTCTGAAAGTATCGATGTCTTTTAAAGTAGCGTTGAGCTAGAATTACAGTCACTGAAGTTCACTGTGTCTTCACAACTACTCCAATTTCGCGGCTGGTAATTAAGGCCAAACAATGTAACTTCACCTCCCTATCTTTGTCTATCAGTTTGACTGCTCCTATATAGACCGTTACATTAAACATAGAATTAGGCATGTTCGTTGTCGGATTTCTGAACACCATCGTGCATGGTTAGGGGAGGGACACACAAGAGCTTTAGTGTTATCTAGCTATACATATATATATATATATATATATATAGCTAAAACCATCAGAATCCAAACTTTTCTTTCTTTCTACATGACTTACCATCTTCAAATGACATTAATTTTGTCAAATACGCTGACGATCTGTCTGTATCTTTGCCTATCAAATGTCAAAGCGATTGCTCTAAACTTAATGGCTTTCTGTCAGAAATCAGCCAGTGGTCCAAGGAAAATGGTCTTACCCTAAACCCCTCCAAATGCCAAACGGTCAATTTCACCTTTAGGCATAAATCCGACCTAAACAAACTGTTTGGCTCTTACGAGGTATGCAACATAGATGGCACTGAAATAGAAACTAAATCGGAAATTAAATACCTATGTGTCATTCTATCTGCTGATCTCTCCTGGTCGTCTCATATCTTAGCAATTTCTAAGAAAATATTCCGTCTTACCTTCTACATTAAGAAGTTAAAACATTCTGGTATTACCCAACCCTTACTCCTACAATTCGTTAATTCTCGCATCCTGCCTATTATTCTCTATTGTTCCCCCTTAGTTTTTCCTGGGCTACTGAAGAAAGACTATAACATTTTACGCAGGATGTTAAATGTTGTTAGCAGGGTAAGCAACGTGCCACTTAACCAGCTTGCTAATACTCTGGTTGACAGGCACATGGACTCATGTGAAAAATGGGCCAAATCCATTTTATCTAACTCACACCACCCTCTTCACTCACAACTCTCCCCCTGCATCTCATCAGGTAGGACCAGAAGCCAATATAGAAAACTATATGCTCGCACCAGCAAGTACAAAAACTCAACCATACCCTACTTAGCTCGTGTTCTGTGTGATAAAGAAAGCATTAAGCGTGACACCTATAATTCTTTAAATAGTCAGTAGAACAACTGGATCTCGTCTTTCCATCTCACATCATCAATATGTACAACATTTTCTTTCTTTCTTTTCCTTTTCTCTCTCTTTTTTTTCCGTTATGTGCTGCTTTGTCTCTTTCTCTCGCTTACGCCTGTTAATAAGACAGCTCCCACTTTTCTAACACCTTCAAACACTGTTTCAGCTTTACCTTTGCTACTGACATGCCAATGTATTGTTGTAATAATGAACTGTTGGTTTCCTCAATCTATGTAGAATTCTATTTATTGATAATGTACTAACTGGATGCAATACTGTAGTAAAAATGCTGAGAATTCCATTCTGTATCACAAGTACTGTTTTGGAATAAAGCAAATTATTATTATTATTATTAAACTTATGTCTTCAGAATAAATTTGTTCAGGCTCTTTTCCTATCTTGGCCATCCTTATTTGATTGTAACAATTTGACAATTTCCTCTTCCTTCTAAGCCCTTTATAAGCTTTCACTCTCGTTAACTGTCGCATACATTTTCTTCCTTAATTTTTTCCGATATTGAATTCAGTATTGCATTCTTATACATATTTTCACTAATACATATTTTTTCAAATGTAGCTCCACTGATATTAATAATTCTTAATAATTATAAAGAAAATATGAATATTGTCAATAACGAGTACTCTTTATATACCACGTATGCAAATAACTATAGAACCGATTAAGGAAGCCACTGAAAAAAATTATTCTTCGCTCAGTGCTCCTTATTTTATCTTCTAAATATTGATTTTGTAAGTGCATGCATATTTGCATGCATGAATACACATTAATAAGTGGATATACAGACGTTTATGCATAAATTTGAAATTTTTAATTTTGTTTTCAACTCTCTATATCGTGATCCTTAAGCAATAAAATTTTTTTTATCGTTTTGCGTCAAATATTTTACAGTAACTGAATTAGTTCTATTTCAGTGACATTATCAAAATGCACACTAACTTCATTGATATCTTCAAGAATTACTTTGTAGGGATTCTATCTGTTTCAGGTTTGATATCAGTTAGAGAACCATTGAAAACCAGCACTGGAGTACTGGACAGCTGCTTCGTCCTTGTTTAGGACTCATTGTCAGTAGGCACCCATTGGAGTTCAAAATCAGGGCCTTCAGGTTACAAGGCAAGCTCGGATACCATTCAGCCACTGGGACCCGATTCAGTAGCCCGTGAATTCTAAATTCTACCAATTCGTGATTTTAACGCGACGACCATGCACTGTCATCAGCGGGAACTCCATCCTCGCTCCCAACTGGATGGACTCCACTAGAACTTTATGCAACTTCGTTTTGTTGCCAGTCACTAGGTGAAATGAAGAAGTTAAGATTTCACCTTTCCATATCTATTCATCAGGGTTGAATTCGCATGTTTTAGTAAATTCCCAAAACAGAATACGATAAGTACCAAGCCTTTTCTTGAAGAAGTATTTGTATGTATCTAGACAGAATACTAGAATAGATTAAATTCTTTAGCACTACTTCCTAAATATACTGATAACACATAGTCATGGTTAAGAATAAACAAAAATTAGGGGTATCCGCTTACAAGTGCTTAATGTCGCTTCTTAATACTGAAATCGGGTATGAGTATGGATTAAGGGGATAAAGAAATAATGGCTGATATTATTACCGCGAACCACATGAAAAATGGCAGTTTGAGTTATAAAAACGAAAATGATGGTACGAATTCAGCTAGGTTTTCAGACAGGAATTTGCAGTGATGATTTAGTCTTTGAGCAGGAACAGACAGTTTGCTGATTATTGTGGACACTGTTAACCTCCAGTTTTGCATACGAAACCAACATGACACACAAATAAACCACCGATCACACTTCTATCTTTGGTGCTCAACATTATCAGAAACCCTTTCAATTTTTTAAGCATACACAGTTCTCGAGAAAATGTCTTCATAACATTGCCAGTGGAAACTCTTTTTACACTGAGCATAATAAACGCTAATCAGCCATTCCACTACTAGTAAAGATGGTTGGATGGAGAGAAAAGAAGTTCCGTTTGGAAAACATATTCAACTATAGGACGAAAGCTATACGTTCGAAAGATGTGACTCAGGCTGAACGTAGGACTGAATATGATACCTTATCTGAGAATGGCTACCTAAAAGAGTTCATAGTAAGCACATGGCTACAGAAGTCGTAAGGAAATCCTATGCATCTGTGAACAAGAAGCTACTCTGTTTGCGGCTTCAATTTACAGACGGTGTTCCAAGTGAAGTAGTAATAAACAAGTTAAGAAAGTCGACTGAGAGTACTTTGAATGCAGCTAAATCCCCGCTAGTATTTTTTACATGTCCAGTTATGATACTGCATCTGAGATACAAGATGTTCAAACTAGAAAACTCTTCTTGGCATTCACTTATACACTAGTACACATACAGACTGTCCTATCCCATTTTCGTCCCAAGTTTTTGATGTTATCGTTCATTCTAATGAGGTTTATGATCAGACCAAATAAAATTCAATTTGAACATTAATCATGAGCATTTTCCACCATATATTTAATGTTATTAATTATCATTTACTTTGATCTATCACGTTCTACTTAGTACTTCACTGAATATTATCAAATAGGCATGTTTTTTAATTGTAGTCTAATAACACTTTACTCAAATATATCTCTTAGATTTTCGCTCTAAATGAGTTGACGTTATTTTAAAAAAACAATTCTGTGGATAAAATTTGTCTTAGCTATTATGGATATATAAACGAAGACTGTGATGAAGAAGTTATCGAAATGGATATTTTTTGTTCACTATTATGTCTTTTGGAATTTATAGTGAGCATCTTTAATCAGATAACCAACTACTGAATAAATGAAACGTGAATTATATTCATTTTGTCTCCAAAGGTTTCTGTAAGCTTTGAGCAGTACTATGGTGAGCCACAAAGCTAGGGCAATGTTAATTTCAAACAGTCCAAGCGATCCGGAGACCAATAGATGACAAGCTTAGAATTTTCTAAGGAATTCCAGTTATTGTCTAGAGGAATTCTTGTTCCCCTTTTTCCGTTGGCAGCTTCGGCACTTCACACAACCAGATGGAATAGCTGACAGTTAGTATATGCATTCATCAAATATCAGTTTTATAAACTTAGACTATAACGACTTATCTGTCGCATAATAGTTCACTAAGCTCCTTTCACAGCTCTTAAAATCACCCTTCAGAATAATTTCAGACGCCTAGGTAACTGTGAAAAGTATTAATAACAGTTTTTCTGACATTCTCTCACTCGAGAGTACAAATCCAAGTTGGAGGATTTAATGCAGAATTAGCAATACTGTGTAAGGTGTGCTGCATAGTCACCTAAAACATAGGATTATAAGTGAACTAAAATTCCGACAAATTCATTCTCGTGTTTTTGAACAGCCTGGAAATATGTTATATACTGTCGACGTTTTAGGATGATTGAAACGCGAGAATTTCATTTAACTTGTGTTTAAACTTGGCTGTTCCCATGTTTCAATACATTTAATTAAAGTAATGATTAGTTAGAAGTATGTAGGTAAATTCTGCACAAACTTCTATGCAATGAATTTTGTTTATTATGGTTTGAAATGTGTTTAACTTACCTTGATTGCCAGGAGGTGCACATAACGAAAACATTGAACGAGCAATTGGAGCAACGAAACTTTTCATTAACCGAGGAACGGCGGCTGGAGAGTAAAATTATAGAAACTTCATTAGGTTCTCATAAGATTAAAATACATAAATGCAGCAATCTGAATTTCTGAAAGCCTGAGGTCAAAACACTGAGTATCCTGTCTGGAGTATGATAATATACCAACGAAAATGCTCACTTTAGAACTCACAACGTCTATTTTTCTTCTAATTTTTTGCCAAGGAAAGGGTTTTGACTGATTCTGCGTGCAAACCTCAGATACATTTATAAATTGCGTTTAGCATCATTCACTTCCATTGCATTAAGTCCATTCTACGAAACTAAGCCCTTATAGGTATTTTTATCGTTTCCTTTCAACCTAACCTGAGGTTGAATTTCAACTGACCTACAGCTTTTTAAAAGTGTGTCATACATTTTCAAAGTTATTCGTCTATTATTCAAAGCGTTGAAACTTTTAGTGATAGGCTAAACTTGTTGGAGCGAACTGAATACGTATTCACCATTAAATTTCTAATGAAATTGTATATTCTGAACTATTTTTTTGAAAAAAGAAACACCCAGGTGCCAAACTAACGACTTTGTCTATAAGAAACAATTCAATAATATGATTCGAAACAACTTTCAAGATACTTTATACTTTGAATTGACAGCTATGCATAAAGTGAAGCCCTTCATCTGTGTGTACAAAATAATTTATTATCATCCTTGATCTACTACATTAATTCTTATCTGATTATATTACCAAATGTAGTGTTAGTCATTCTCCTAATTATTAAATTCTTTACCACCTTGTTTGTTCCATTTTTCATATGATTTGGAATGGAATACGTTCTGAATTTGAATCTGAGTATAAAAACACTGCAGTATCAAAATGTAAGTGAATTCATACTACTAAAGGTGAATAGTATAAATTTTATCCATTTCTCTGAAACTTAAAGACACTGATGAATGTTGTAAATGATGTTCTGCCTGGAATTTCTAGGAAATATATTGTCTGAGACCAACTACTTTTGACAATGGAGTGAATGTCTCATCTCCAATGAAGTCATATGATAACTAGTCATTTGAAAGTGCTGCCTTTTGTGTTAACACATATATGTTACTGTTCAGACTAGTCGGTTTCATCTTAAACTTGAATAAAAACTTAGAATACTGATAAGACTTAATATTTGCAAACTTTCTCCCATCGAAACATTAAAATACGAAGAAGAAATTCGTGACCATATCATCTTAATGTTGTAAGGGGTTTGTTATTAGTTCACTGTTCTAGGACTGAACCTCATGACGTTAGAAGTAACTTCTGTCTATCTAAATGACATGAAACAGTGATATAGTTCACTTGAATGGGAAGATATAAATCAAACATATCAGGGAGTGAATATCGTAAAATAACGTAGAAACATGATTAAATGTGGTGACAACTTTACCGCATACCTATATAAACTATGATATTGGCCGTGCGTTTTGGAAATCCATAAGCCACAGCCATCAAAACTTTGTTCGCCGCCATCATTGCCAATGAACCTGCCAGAGAATATACTAGTAATTGCATATGCCGATTGAAGGATATCTTCGATGCATCATTGGTAGTTTCAGTTTGAGACGGAATTTCTTCTACCTTTTCTACCTTTTGTTTCGATTTCTGCTTTAATCGAAATTTTATGACGATTATTGTATACACTATTCCTACTATAGAGGACACAAGGTCACTGACACCTCTGAAAGAAAATTAAACCATTCAATAATAAATGATGACAATTATTTTTATAAAAAATATTAAATCAAACTCTGTAGAAATTTTTGGCTAACGGCATAAATCAATCTGGAAAACAGCTATCATTCAAGTTGACCTAGGGATTCAAAACTGGTTCATTAAATAGCAAAGTGGTCGATTTTACCATTAGGACTTTGAGAAAGAATGTGAATGTCATTTATTTTGAAGCTGGCAAAAATAATGTTATTCAGCATTGAGAACTAGACAGCCGTGTTGACTGCTTTTTTGTCATCGAAATCGGTTATTTTACTGTATTTAAAAAAAATTCATTTCTCGTAAAAACTGGAACCAGTAAATTCCATATGCACAGTACTTATGAATCGACGTAAAGATTCAGCACAAGCTGAATAAATCCAATGCATTTAGTAAGTAGTAGTGTGATTCACACTAATATAACAATCGAGGTAACAGATATGACCCTAAAAAGGTGGTTAGGCTTCAATTTCCCAACGATATTTGCTAGCCCAGAGGAATATTATTCCAGACATAATCATGATGATGGTTATGCTAAGAGCAGACCCCATATTATATGACATAGTTTTCATTACGACTACAGTATGACGGCTGAGCAAAGCACGATGGTTGTAGGATGTTCTCTACAGATTACTACTAATTTAAATGTATCATCTTCTCACTGTGCTGAGGTGTGGTTAGGAAAGGTCAACTTAAAAACTTTATAGTTCAGTTCATTCTACCGTGCTTCATCCCATAGGGAATGGTTATGCAAATGCTTGGAGTTGTATAAGTCTGACCTGTCAAATGATTCACATAAGATTTACGGGGAGTGTCTTAAAAAATCTGTGTTCCCACTCATGCAAATAAATTCAAAGGATATATGCTAGAGTGTATACACACTTTCAAGATCATAAGAAGACATTAGTTTCTGTAATTATGTTTTGCAAAGTTTCCATGAAAATATTTTCTGTTGGAATTATTGGTTTTAAATAAACACAACAATCTTATAGTTCTGGGAAACAGTACTGCAGACTTTGCATTGGAGGCATTTTACCCTTGAGAAACCTTTGGCCCACCGTGCTGTAGAAATGTTATACCTCCTAGAGGTCCGTATAAGACTAAACGGTAATTCAAGTGTTGGTTTGTAGGGCTTTGATTGGTTACAGGATTTTCATCATGAGCTGACATTAGTTAGAGGACCGTTGGAAAACCTAGGAGTACTGGACAGCTGTTTTGTCCTAGTTTGGGACTCTTCAGCAGTGCGCACCCACCGGGATTTGAACCCAGGACTTTCTGGTTACAAGGCGAGCTCGTATACCATTAAGCCACTGGGACCCGATCCAATGGTCCATGAATTCTAACTTCTGCCAAGGTCCCAGTGGCTTAATGGTATACGGGCTTGCCTTGTAACCAGAAAGTCCTGGGTTCAAATCCCGGTGGGTGCGTAGTGATGAAGAGTCCCAAACTAGGACGAAACAGCTGTCCAGTACTCCCAGGTTTTCCAATGGTTCTCTAACTAATGTCAGCTCATGATGAAAATCCTGTAAACGGTAATTATTCATTAAGTCAGTCTGACCAATGTAGTGAGTCTCAAAAATTCACCTTATAGGTGATGGCTCCCTGAAATGTTTGATGAGGGCATGGAACTGAGCCCTGAAGAAGGTCAAGACACCTGCTAGATACTTACGAATAACTATCTGTATATGGCCTGGTCAAAAGCATTGATAATAACCATAAGTAATTGTGATGCTCATCAATATATATGGTTTCCATCTATACGTTAAATGTAGATAAAGTAACGAATACATACTTCTAAACATGTGGTCTGCTAAAGCCGTCTTACAGGTGAGATGAACTTTATGAAATTCACGCGGTGTGTTTGGTAGGGCAGAACATCAGGTGGTGTTAATATCCAGAAATTCACTCAGAAGCAATGTGGTTTGCTTGAGCCTGAATAGCGAGGGAATCCAAGAGGGGCGATTTGTTTAGTTTGAAATTGATCATTCATATATACTTGTATCTCATTATTCTGTTCCCAGTGTAACTCGGACTTAACACAGTTTCAAATGCCAAAGATTTGTACACGAAACTACTTGGTCATGACTGCCATCTACTGTTCAACGAGCAACAGTTTTTTGTTGGAATTCCACACTACCCGCAAATTTTAATGAAACAAATTGGATAGTCCCTGTTCTATGGCATGCTCTTCGATTTTATTCCACTTTGAAATATTCTCAAAAAGGGCGAAAGGAGCATCCTGGATTCTATTACTAGTGACATACAGCCTATCACTAATATTTGACTTTAAATTATGCGAGTCGACGAAGTATCGATACATGGAGCTAACATACCAGCAGCAACTGAGTAACACGGTAATTCAAAAGTTTCAGTCGATGATATTTTAGATACAAACTTTGTCTTTTAAAAGATCCAGTGTAGTGTATAAAACAAAATCATATAGTTTACCTAATTCCACGCAATGAATAGATAATAAAAACAGGAAAAATTAGTAGACCGAAATTAGTTAAACTGTTGAGTCGAAAACTATACATAATCTCCTAAGCTCGAAAAGCCCGCCTACAGCTTCATAACCAGAAACACATTATGTTACTGCTGTACAAAACTATGGCAACGAAAACATAATTATCCGGATGGAAAGATTGATAGTAAACCATTTTTTTGTCAAATTAATGGAGAATTCATGTTACTCAAATATTATACACCTAATTCTGATGCATATTTGCATCTCCTATTCTCGTTACAAAATAATTTGATGCAATGGAGCTAAAATACAAGCTGATAGCCTACATTCGACGCAGTGATTAGAAATAAATAGTGATCGAAGCATCTTACAGTCAATTATGCTTTCCTACAGTAAAATATTTCTCACAAACTGGCTGACATGAACGTATGCACTACACCACCGTCCAAGCTTTACCCCTGTATTAAGACCTAAAACTGACAATAAGACTACAAAATGTCAAGTATTGTCCTGGACATCCTACAGCGTAGTGCAATAACTGAGTGAGTGATCACGAGACTAAAGATACAAGCTCAAACCAACTAGTACATCTTCATCTTCAAAATTTAAACATGTATTAGGCTCATCAGTCTAGTCTCCTACTCAACGAACTGCTTGGGCTGATTTCAAGGAGAAATTTACATGTAATCATACTAAAAAACTGGTGACAATCATTGCTTATGTCTCCAAGTACTAAGTTGAGCCACATAATGAATCGTAATCTTTCAGATTAAGATCCATGAGTAAATCATAATTAACCGCTGTATAATCCGAACTGACTAAGATGATATGGATGTATTCTACGTATTCGTCGCTTCTTGTGCTCATGTTTGTCTTCATTCTGTTGTATACTGTTTCAAAGTGACTGGAGTTTGTAAATTTAAATTATACATAATAGTGAAGTAAAGTGGTTCACTTTCATCTCAAAGAGCAATTCCCAAATAAAATGTTGATATTATGTTCAGATTTATAAGCAAAATGTTTAGTTTTATAAAGCATACGAAAAGAAATCTAAATACTGAGTAAAAAAAGTATGGCTATACGGAAGTGTAGATTGTCACAGTTCAAATCATAACATCAGAGTGAAAGGCATCATAATTTTTGCATGAAACTGCATGCAGACAATTACATAACTCTTTTCAAAATCAGTCAGTACATGATCAGATCAAGTATTAATATTACCACCATAACACTGCTTTCAATGCTACATGATTGATCTGTTTACTCATGACAGCTAGATAACATTGTTTTACATCACGTCACTGGAGAGGGATTAAAATCATACGAAGTGTGCTATCTACGTTAAGAATTTTTTATTTTTTAAAGCATTAGTTATAAACAATACGAAGAAACATAGTGTGATATGATTTGGTGAATTATGGCTGCATTTTGCACAATCAGAGGACGTTAGAAGAAAATATATTGCTTTATAAGGTTGTGTTTGGAGTAAACACGGGAGTCAGACAAGGGTGCTTATTATCACCAATGATATTCCTTATTGTGGTGGACTGGATTATGCGTCAGACAGTGGGAAATGAGAAGACAGGGATATCCTGGACCGACGTGAAGAACCTAGAAGATCTGGATTTCGCGCGTGGATGATTTATGTTTGATGTCACACATAATCGAAGACTTACAAGAGGAAACCGAAAAACTGGTCGAAGAAGCAGCAAAGACAGGATTCCAGGTGAACATAGACAAGACGGAGGTTATGAAAATAACCAACCAACAACAACAACAACAGCAACATCCAGCGCCAATCACCATCAACGGTAAGGATTTGATGAAAGAGGTTACTTCATTCACTTATCTAGGGAACATTGTCTCAACTACAGGAGGGACGGACGAGGATGTCAAATCGAGAATCGGAAAGGTGAGAAACACATTCATCAACCTGAAACCAATCTGGAGATCTTCTTCACTCAACTCAGCATCAACAACAAAATTCGGATTTTCAATACAAACGTCAAGTCAGTCAGTTCTTCTATACGGATCAGAAATCTGGCGGGTCACAAAGAATATTTCCAACAGGTTGCAGACCTTTATCAACAACTGTCTTCGCTCTACACTGAAGAATAGATGGCCGGAAACAATCACAAACAAGAAACTATGGGAACAAACGAAACAGCAACCAATCGCCCAACAAATATGCAGGAGAAAGTGGAGATGGATTAGACACTCGCTGAGGAGGCCGTTGGGTGACATCGCGCGTCAGGCCAAAGTTCGAGTGGAACCCGAAAGGGAAGCGACGAGTGGGATGTCCAAGGGTGACATGGAGGATATCGTGTGAAGAGGAGTTGAAACAGTATGGATTAACATGGATGCAAGTGAAAAGTACAGCAGAAGACAGAAGCAAGTGGTGACGTGTAGTTGAAGCTCTATGTTCCACTAGGAACCCAAGGGAACAATAAATAATAATAATGATATAAGGTTGTGTGTATCATGAGAGCATTGAAGTACATATAAGGTGCTTACATGTATATTCCAACTTCTTGAGGATTCCATAAAAACGGAGCACCCATGAGGAAAATGACAATATATTGTAGGTCCACCAGTGAAGTAATCGCACAGAGTATAACAACTATTACAACGATGATTAAGACGCCACTCAAACTCTTCACAGCGTACAGTAACATCTATAAAAATAGATAATATTTATCTAAATATAATTTTATGTTAAACGGTGATAAATATAATTAAGAATAATGATAATATGCTTTTATTATTATTATTATTAGTAGTAGTAAAATATATCTCAGTGGATCTACACCAAATTAAACATAAATTAAAATTAAAAACATAAACACATAAATTTCAAGGTGCAAATTCTACAAGTAAATTAATTAGATAAGTGAACTGAAATAAATGCTAAATATAGTGCATGTATTAAACCTTCTTGTTCACACTTACTTATAGCACAGTTAAGGATTTATTTACACTGGTCTCATAATAGCAGATGTTTATGTTTGTGAATAGAGATATTTTGAAAATGAGAAAGTGAAATACACCAGCTCACTTAATGAGAGGATTCGTATTTAAAAAAAACTAAAACTTTTAGGCCCTTGAGTTTGTATACATCAAAAACTGGGGTGCTGATATGATGTTCTTCACGAAGTGCTGGATAATAAACAAAACTTAAGCGAATAATAGCAGAAAAGTTCTATTAAGGATGGTAGCCTGGCTTAGCATACAGTTCCAACTAAGCATCCATTCTAAGCACTTAAAACACGAATACACTTTACCAAGGATTGTGGTATCATATGTCGGTTGAACCTTGACAAGAGAAGAGAAATTTAGAAATTGTGATTTGTTCGTCAAGAAACCATTATCAAAGACCACAAGAAAATTCATTCTACCATACATGAGAAATATCTCTGAAATAACAGCTAGAATACTGAAACCGTTAGATATAGATATAGCACACAAACCAGAAAAATCGTTTAATTCGATACTATGCAAACCAAAAGATCCAACAGAAAAAGGGGATAAAATTAATACCATTTACAAAATAAATTGTATGAACTGCAACAAACATTATATCGGCCAAAGTGGGCGTCCCCTTCGAATCAGAATCCAAGAACATAAATCAGCCTTGAAAAGACATGATATGTATTCTTTAGTATCAATGCATACAGACAATTATGGTCATCAATTTGATTGGGATCATGTCAAAATCTTAAACAGAGGAAACACGAAAAGTGCCAGAGAATTCCTAGAAGCCTGGTACTCAAGCGAAAATGCAATTAACAAACACGTTGATATAGATGAAATATACCAACTAATAAAAAGTAAATCAGGTGACCAAAAAGTTTAAAATCCAAGTCAATAGAAAATGGTCAATACATATGTAAAGATAGTAACCAGGAGACGCAATTACATCACCCATGAAGAAATTAAAATCATTTCACTTTTTGCTAAATATGGCGCTGAAGATGTTGTCCAGAAGGACGACGAAATCTCCGCAACTAAACCAACCAGCTCAGAGAACACTGTTAATTGCAAAAAGATACTTATCAGCTCAAATCAGCAAATTGACATTTACTTCAAATACAGTGGCTTTTATACACCTTAAAGAGAGGTACATTTTCAACTTTGGTAGTCCTAATTTCCTGAATAGTATTTCAAATTACATTACAAGCAGTAATATAAATTATTGTTAGTAGTAAAGTAATAGGTGGTTAAATGATGTTGCAGACGGTTTAGCACCTAGAGGTTGATAGTCATGCATGCCAGCGAAGGGATTGCCACGTTTGCTGTCATAATACTGTAGAGGTGTAAATATTCTCATCCAAGAAGCATCAAAAAGAAATCTATGCAGTTAAAATCAAAATTATCCTCATGAAAACCAAACTGGCCAAATTGCACTTCTATTTCATAGTGCCACTCAGTGACTTTAAACAGCGGTGTTATGTGCTAGCTCTTTTAGCAACTAATGGTGATGCAGCAATATCTTTGAATAAGATTTGACCAAAAAACCCTAAATAGAAGGTGTCAACAGCTTCTCTAGTTGGCTGCAGATACTATTTTATGCCATACCCAACAAAAACTTATTTTGGAAATAATTAGTCCAAACAATAGAAGTTATATCTTTTATCAAAACACGTAATATTGGTCCATATTCATTTTTCAGATTGGATACGCCTAATATGTTAAAAAAATGGTAGTATTAGTGTCTGTTTCTCCCAACATAGGGTTTCACTGGCACACGTCCACTGCGCACGTTTCTGTGCCATTACTTTAATATATGATTTCACTATAGCCCATAAGTTCTTATTTCCTTTCACATTCTGTCCTCCGTATCACACTCGGAGGCCGAAGCCGTTACTCCTCATTCAGGTTTCACTCATTGTTGTGGCGTTACTCAAAGGTTTCTGCATATTTATTGGTCAATAGGTCAACGTTTAGTTCCTTGAGAATTACCCTTTCTGGCCAACCATCTTGTCTTCAATATTGAAATACTGAAAGAAGCTGTTGATGAAAGTATTCAGCAACCTGTTGGAAACGCTTCTAATAAACCGCAGGTCATCTCTACAGCAGATAGAAGCACTCGCTAACTTGATATCAGTATTGAAGATCAAGATCTTGTTCGCTGTAATGAACACAGCACATTTCCACGGCGATTTCAGAGTAATGAAAGTCCGTCTTGATTTTCTAATCCTGGTCAGCCTCATCCTTTGCCACCCGCAGTTGAAACCCTCTTGCTTAGTGAGGTGAATAAGAAGGGTGGTTCCCTTTAGATTTCCCCTGCTGATAGTGATTGGTGTTTGTTGTTGTCAACTAAGTATCCTCGTCACCTCTGTTATCTCTACGTTCAGTTGAAGTCATGTGTTTGCTGCCCGCCTCTTACGCTAACTTGTTTATTTTCGCTTGTACGTCCGCGAACATAAATCATCTGCAAACCTTGACCATTGAGGGTCTCTTTGTATGTTCAGCGTATACCCGTGTTTACAATCTCCACTGTCTGCTGTATGATCTAGTTTACCAGAATCAGGAAGGTAATCAACGATAGCCTTGTCTTACCACTGCCTTTACTTTGAACCCTGCACTGAGCTTTCCGTTGTGAATCACCTGGCATACAGTGTAATCGAGAATTTGTTAAGTCGTGGTGGTGTGATACAGACAAGGTGTTCCAGCGGAATATTATTCTCACATATTCTCACAGTTCATTACTGCATTAGCAACAAAATAATATACGTGTTTGAACGTTCTATTTCATGTCGTTTAATGTAAACCAAAATCACACGCTCACTGATTGGTAATATATATATATATATATATATCGGTTTCATCACTTGAAAATATATATTGGCTTCCGTGTCTTGCCTTCTGATGTTACAAAGTGAGTTTTATTTATTTTTTCGTTACTGTGCTCTGCAATACTGAGGCAGCTATCAAGTTACTTCCTGGACGACTCTATTGAAGGCTCCCCTAAAAATTATCCATGTAAGAATTACCTGCCTATCTTCTTTTCAGGAAACTGGCGGATATTAGGCTTGGATAATTTAAAGATGTGTTCTTTTATACAGGCTTCTCACACTGGTATGTTTCCAAGCTCTAGATAGTTGATATGTATGAGGAAAATAAACTGTCGTCTTATTTGTATTTTACTTCCCCAGCTTCCCTCTTCAAAATGGGAATTACAAACACCATGAATGTAAATGTTTGTATTAATTGGAAATTACTAAATTATAGTATTATTCCAATAAGCATAAACGACCCAGGTGCAGGGATATTCACAGTAGTACATTCGTCCGGAATATTTCTTAACCTGAATAAGTTATGGGCAAACAAAGTGCCTCCTAATTTTAATTACATTCTGTAGTTATTTACAATCGCCATAAATTCATTTGTAAATAAAATTTGTGTCATTATTATTATCATTGTTTCCTAAAGTTCCTAGAGGAACATAGGGCTTCAGCCACAGGTCTCTATTATGTTCGGTTCTCTGCCAACGTTTTCACCTTGCTCCACGTCTGCCCACATGCTTTCATCTGTCATTTTTCGTTCAAATCTCCTAAGTGTTTTACAATCTCAGAAATTATGGGTCAGTTTAAGAAACAGTAATATTTGTAACGGTGTTTGTTTCTTTGCATTCGAGCACTTTACGATAAACGCATAAGATTTCGCTTAAAACAGTATGTTGAACAAGAGTCATGCTACAGCCTCTGAATCACCTGCCTTTTAAAATACAACACTGAAATTTACTATATATCAAGGTATTAATCTTTTTCTTACATAATTTCTGAATCATTATGACAACTTGCCTTTAACTTTTCAGTTAACTTTTGTTTCCAACTTTCTTCCATTTCAATTGTACGTGAATCGCTATAATCACTGTTTGCATCAACATCGTTCAACTCATCATTATTCACATTAGGATTGTCCGTGTGGGTTTTCTTGTCCTGTTCCTTAACTTTTATACTTTTACCATGTACCCTGTTAGTCTCCGGTAAGATAAAGATCAGCACTAGACTTGGTATGAATAGACATATACAGGTAATAACTGCCGTTTTGAACCCGTACCGATAAATTAAAGTTCCTGTGTTAGGGGAAAAGAAAAAGAAAACTTAAATACAATACAGAGTTGTAGTTCCTTTCGTTTTCAGCTAATTTAAAATATGAATGATGTTTAACAGCTGGAATTTCTTAGAAGTCAACCACAGGTTCTCCCCACACAGTTAAGATAAACAATAGTTTGGAACACTGTAAAGATATTCAAAAAGGAATAACTATAAGTGGAGAGCAATAGGGAATACTGACTGAGATCTTTTTCATCGAGTTAAATCTCAACATGTGAAATAAACAGGACACGGTGATTTAACTCCTTTTGGATGAGCTGATACTTACCACTGGTCATATTAAGACTGCTTAATTTAATTGTTCCTGCTCCCTTTTAAAAAAGCGCTTGGCGTAAAGAGCTAATTTTACTTATCGAGAGTATATCATTTATCTTTGTTAGCAACGTTTGTGTCCGCTGTGCATCCCTTATCCGGTAGAGTTTTAGGCTTATTTCCCTTTATAGCTGTATTCTCATTCCATTAGCCACTTTTTACCACTTGTAACTTGTATTAGTCTTATTATTTTGTGCAGACCTGCAGTCTTTTACCCTAGGTCATGCCTGAGTTAACTGCCCAGCTTCATTTATACCACATTACACTGATATTCAGTTATTGGAATTTGTTTGGTAGTGATCTTTAATGAAAACTTAGCCTGGCTGATATAACAAAACGATGATAGTAAACAGTGAGATAGGAACATCTTTAGCCTAAATCTCTGCCAAACAATTTCATGATGGGTCGTAGTATCACAGAAAACATCACTACACTGAGATGAAGGTAAATACCATTGAACAGTCCAAAATAGGATATATTTTTCACTATTTTCAGACAAATATACCAGTTCTTAGTGAAACTGCAAAGTACATTAGTGAGTCACACAAGGTTTTATTTAAGTTCAGCATCTATGCTGCATGTGTTTTGATGATAAATAAAAACCAACTATGTAATTATTGCATCAGACTGAACTTCGTACTACCAATTTTGATACAGACAGTTTCAGCTGTACCGACGAAGGAAGCATCTTAGTTTATCAGTGATTCAGGTTTTAGTTATGTACTAAAAATCCTGACATCTCTCAACAAACAATGACTAAAAGTTATGGAATAAAATATTAATTACAAATATGAGAGTCAAATCAATTCTGCAGTGAAACCTCATTCAAAACACTGTGACATGAAATACCTCCTACTGGGCTGCCGAGCGATGAACACAGAAGGGCTATAGATTCGAAGACAGTGAACCAAACCCATACTTCTTGATTAACTTTTTCCAACAAAGCTGCTTCACTGCTCTCGATGTCTTTGCTATGTGATAATCTTGTCACATCGACCATCACTGCTGCAACTTGAGAATAAAGAGATAAAAGCCCACCACCAAAGAGGGCTTCAAAAAATCCAGAGGCAATTATTAGCCATACGTCCAATTTCACTAGTACTATCAAACCTTTCAATTTAAAAGGAAGACAAAAATCATACATTAGGAGTTTGCACATAAAATAGAAATAATAATATAAGCATAAAACTTGGGCACTGTGGTAGGGTATAACTCCATTATGGATAAGATATTATTTTGATAAATCACACAGTGTTGTACAGTTATATTAACTGATGACGTTTTGAGCACAAACTATTGCCCATAATCATATCAACTTGATATGATCTTATCCATAATGGAGTTATACTCTACCACAGTGCCCAAGTTTTATACTTATATTAATAATATGAGTTTTATCAATAAAATACAATCAGATGGGAAATAAGACTAGTGCTTTTATAGTCAAAATTACTAACTTGTTAGAATGTTATGATGTACCTCAATTGAAACAGAATTTTAAGATTATTGATTATCCTCCTCTGATTTGACTGGTGGTAATAATATCTTCCATATCTCTGGTATTTGCGTTGAGTCATTTCTGTTACATGTGTTAGGTGTAGACTCAACTGATTGTAATTGATCAGTAACACTCATGTTATTATTTCTGAATGTACATTATCTCACATTGATTTTTATTCAAAGATCTAATCAATTCCACTGATGTATATAAATGAAGCAAGAAAGTTGTGTGAGTGACTTGATATGATTATGAGTGGCAATAGTTTGTGCTCGAAACGTCATCAGTTTTTATATTACTGCACAACACTGTGTGATTTATCAAAATAAAATCTTATCTTTAATGAAATAAAAAATTAATAGGAATTTCAGATTTGTTTTTTTTGGAAATATTTTGCATAAAGTAGGTAACATTATGCTCTTTAATTTATTCTATTGAAAGCGAACCAAGGAATTAGACGAGCCACAAATTGGTAAAGTAGGAGTAAGCGTCAGTTACTTTTCACTGTCTTCAAGCCTGTGTGTATGTAGCTGACTGCGTATGTGGAAAATAACTCCCTGTTTTGATTAGATGCCTATAGAAATTCTGCAGCTTGATTACAATGACTGTCCCAACGTAAGTGGTACCATGTGTCTGATTACCCTTGAAACGATGGCCGCTTAATATTTTGAGAAACTTAGATCTAAGAGAGAAGCAAATTCTCCTGCTTCCTGTTCTCTTCACTGTAATAATAAAAAAGTATTCAGCCCTTACCTAACAACCTGCTGTAACTGAAATATATCTGTGGTGTGTATTTCCTAAGTACACAATCAAATTATATATTTGTTTTGGGAAACTGAGGATTAATAAAACTACTATGATTATTATGTAGGAGTATGAAAAGCAATGCATAATTTACTATTAAAAACAGTTTTCAAGAAGAGTCCAAGTATAATAATAATAATAAGAAGAAGAAGTAGATCTAATAAGACAGATCGTATCAACTAAGAGCAACACTGTAGTGACCAGAGCAGACATCCTCTTAATCTACTTACTCAAAAATACAAAATTGGTCAAATAATATAACATACATTCCTTTATATCAGTGCAACTCGACAACTATGGATATCGGTCTAGCCGGAATAGTGTGAAAATCCTGAAAATTGCAAACAGTTGATGCTAGAGAAATTCTAAATTACAATTGTGTCGGTTTGTAGTTAGCATATATTTTTGATTGGACACTAGTCAGTAACTGGTGTAATGCCTAGTCCTATCTTTGGTGCAGGCTGAATTCTTGATATAAGAATAAAACTTGTGCACTGTGGTAGAGTGTAATTCCATTATGGGTAAATTTTGTTTTGATAAAGTCTCACAGTGTTATACAGTAATGTTTACTGATGACGTTTCGAGCACAATTTATTGCTCATAATCATATCAAGGTGACAGACTGAATTCTATCAGTCACGTTTGCAATGTAGCCACCATAGTAGGTGGCTCGCCATCATGATGCACTGTGAAATGTTGATATTACATGGTTGAAGGCAATCGGCAGGAAGCCCAACTTGACGTAGGTTTCGTGCTAGTTGGTACTCACTAGTCAACAAGGCGTATCTGCAACCTCGAAGGAACTCATGTCCCTTCTGATATTTGAACCCGTGTCACCCAGTTCTTCAGTCATAGACGTTGCCATTGAGCTATTCAGGCTGACCTCCTGTAGGACTGTATTGTATATTTCTGATTGGATATTATTCAGTAACTAGTGTAATGTGTTTTTGTCTAGTTCTATCTTCGGTCCAGACTGAATTCTATCAGTCAAGCTTGTAATGCCGCCACCTTTCTAGGTGGCATATATGTTGAGTGGACAATTAGTGAAGTAATATCTTATAATTTGGCAGTGATTATCAAGCAGTAGAGGTGCATACTGACTTTCATATTTCGACCGGTGTTCCCGTACATCGACATTAAATATCGAACAACCACTTACTGGTCGTTGCTATATGCAGAAGTTCTCCAAGAAGTAGTATAGCCAAGGCTATTCGTCGACCAAATCGATCTGATATATAACCGATAATTAGCATGGTGATCAAGCCAATTGTTATCCTAACAGAATTTGTTGTAGCTTCCAGCGTAGCTGCTTTCCTCTGTGCAATCTTCAATTTTATTTGATCATCAGACGAACTACAGTAAAATAAAGAATTGAACTTGAATGAATGAGTTAAAACTGTTAAACTACTTGGAGGAGATAAAAGACTGACTTAATATATATTTTTAAATCTTTTACGAATACCACAGAAATGAATGCTTCTTCTTATCTATGCAATCGACAAACAACTTCATTCCAGTGATAAATCAAACTGAACTCATTGGGTTACAATGTCATTATGTTACCATGAAAAGCCTATGAAATTAGGTTGTCGACCTTATGGATTCATATTTTTTTTGCTACCATCTGATTAATCTGAAAAAATGTCACAAATCACACAATCATCGTTGATTTTTCTGAATTTTGACAGTCATAATTTAAAGTGTAACAGACAAGTATCATTCTTATCAAAGGGATACAGTCTGAAAAGTTGCATGCATATACGCCAACATTTTGAAAAAAAGGTACTTGATATAGGTATTATCATATGATGAAGTATGTCTATTACAGACTAACATAAAACTACAGTTTACTGATTACATCGATGATTGACACAATTCCAATGTCCCAGTGATTTTAAAGCAAGAACAGAATAAGGTTATTTTTTTATTTTGATTATAGCTTGAAACCATACAGTATTTTTGGTACAAGTATGGAATTTTCAGCATGTGATATCGGTAGCCCAAATTTTGCAGGCAGACCATTGATATCAGGGGTACGTCGGCAGGGGATCAAACCCCGGACCATGTGCGTGGTCAGCGAGAGTCCTAAACGCTGTGCCACTGACACGGACCAAGGAGTTTAGCATGTGCGCGAGTCATTGGGCTTTACGAAACCCAAAAGCGCAGAGAAGGTAAAGGTTTGGCTTGTCCAGGCTGAGGTCAGATCCTGTTGTTTTGCTCATTAATTCCAAGCTGCGAGCAGCAGGTGCATCACCGGCCAGTCCCATGACGTAGACATGTGGCCTTGTGCTATGTGTACCGTCGGGGCGGAGCAAGAGCGTACATGTTGAGACCCAAAAGATGGTGAACTATGCTTGCGAAGGTTGAAGCCAGAGGAAACTCTGATGGAGGACCGTAGCGATTCTGACATGCAAATCAATTGTATAACGTGAGTATAGGGGCAAAAGACTAATCGAACCATCTTGTAGCTGGTCCCCTCCGAAGTTTCTCTCAGGATAGCTGGCATTCTGAGATATAAACAGTTTTATCCGGTAAAGCGAATAATTAGAGGCCTGGGGGAGAAAACATCCTCAACCTATTCTGAAACTTTAAATGGGTTAGAAGCTTAACTCGCTTAAATGGAGTTTTGCATTGAATGTGAGTGCCAAGTGGGCCATTTTTGGTAAGCAGAACTGGAGCTATGGGATGAACCAAACGTGCGGTTAAGGTGCCTAAAGCGACTCACAATTAGTGTTGCTAACTATTCTTCTTCATTTTCGTATCTTTCAGTTTAAAAATTTGCTAAGTAGCTCCTAGAAATACGCGTTTGGGTAAGCATTGGTGAATTTACTCATCCTTAATTTAACCACAGTATGCGTATAGCCTGTTTATAACCGAAAGTACCAATGTTTTATTTTGATCGCAGTAGACCAAGTATCATTGAAATATCTGTGGTCTCATTGTAACATTTTGTTTCACCAGACAAAACTGTATAGGCAGAAAAAGATATTAGTGTGATCAATTAAGTTCCATATTTTCATGTATCTACAAGCGGAGGTATCCACAAGAACAGAAAAAAGAATTAAGGATGAACTGAAACACGATTTCCCACCACCATGGTAATTCCATTTTAAGATACAGTATGCTCGTTAACTCAGTCAAAAGTAGATAAGTGCTCTGCTCATGTCAATTTCAAATACATTTAACAATTCACCTGCACTTGCGACAGCAAGTGCATGAGAAGAACTAAAAACAGAGCCTACTAGATTTTCCGAGTTTGCCCTTTAAAGTCTCTGTTTGAAAGGCAGCAAAGTGTTCTGAAGTGCACTTGCCAGACACCTAAGTGACACAAGACATACAGTGAGAATTAGTCAAGCTTTTAAAATAATGAATACACAGAGAAAAGCACAGTTGCTTCGGTTCTCAGAAGCCATTGTTATCAAACGACTTTGACTCAACCTTTGGATACAAAAAGATAGCGTGACTAATCTCACACTACCCTGGTAACCGTATATTTTTCGTTCATGTGCTTTTGTGTTGTGTTCTGTTGCATAACATTCCAATCGATTTTGGTTTTGATTTCCACCTACTGACTTAAACTCACTATTAAGTTTCCAAATCTATTAAATTGTTGCGTCTATTTTATAAACTTACTTAACTATTCATCCAACCCTCTTGAACTCCCCACCGTGATATGCATGAATTCACTCTGATGATCT